CGGCTGTCAGAAAAGATTAAAACAGTCCCCACAGCATTACGTGAATGCTCATCAAACTTGCAAATCAGGCTGCTAAGTATGACCTCATACAAACAGCTGCAAAGCAAAAAACCAACCTCTATATAAATGAGTGCCTTACCAAGCAGCATGGATCCCTCCTCTACAGACTGCATCAAATTCACCAACAAAACCCAGGTGTTATTAAGCAGTGCTACACTAGGAATGGAACGATCATTGTAAAGAAGGAAAGAGCAGGAAGAAGATATGAAATAAAGTGTGACCAACAACTACTGACCTTTAATGACTGTGGCATATCTGAAAACCAGAATCTTTCCAATGCCAATACTGAAAATATCTCATGAGTGTCTGAGCCTAACCTGGCCTAACCTTGTCCAAGGTGCTGTCTTTCACTCTATTGGTTAAATAATGCTCTCTCATCCATAAAAGTTCCTAACATCTCAGTAAAGTCTCCATGTACTTATGTAAGCATCTACCTCAGTATCTTAGTAAAATCTTACTCAAATGTATTATCTTACTCTGTTATCTTTAAATTTAATGGTATTTTGATTTATATTGTTCACTTATTGGATTTAATTAATATAGGTCATATTTTTCTTAAGTATATATTAATTATAGGATCATAACTAAGCTAATTATAGTTAATTATCATTAAAATTATATTACTTTATGATTATTTAAGTCAGTATTAATTAATTAAGATTAACCTTGTAATTTTTTTGTCTTCATTAATTCCATATTCTTATTGAACATTATTCTTGTCAATCTTTATTGATTTTTGTTTTTACTTGTGTATCCTTCTTGTCTAACTACAGTGATCTTTATTTGACTTTTTTGTGTGTGTTTTTGTTATAGTTATTTGATATTTACAGCAGATATAGTATTTTACTGTTGTGTAATTGCTTGCCTTATTGTATCTTGACTCCATTGCATCTACATGCAAGCTGATATTGATCCTCAACTAAATCTGCTCTCACACATCTACAATAACCACCATATTGATCATCACTACTGCACCTATTACACACCAAACTTTGCACAAAAAAAAAAAAAAACTCCAAAATAACACTTGCCTATCAGTTTTCAACCAAAATGTCAGATCACTTGGTAAAAAATTTGATGATATAAATGCACTACTCACAGCATTAGGTACTAAACTATCATTTATTATTTTAACAGAGACCTGGCTAAGTAAAGACTATACTCAACTCTACTTTTTCACTTATTGTGTTGCATATAATATTACTTGATGTTGAATTATAATGCAACTTGCATACATTAAGTATACACCTGATTAATAGTGTCACAATAATGCACACACAAATGTTTTCAATTACGCCATGTATGTATTCACATTTTTCATTATTATATTTACACACATCCACTCACTATTTACAGGTTTTTGCAACATCATTGTACATTTAGAAGTCTTGGAGATAGTGGTAGTCGTTGAAGCAGTTGACAGCGCACAACGGGACTGCACACACTTCACACCATATTTGCACTAGTTTACGTTTCTGTGGTCTCTTTTTTTTTTTTTTTTTTGTTCTACAAACTATGCAATCACGTTGGTCTATATGCACGCTTTCCAGCTGGTGGCAAATGTTTTAGTCTGTGTGCTTAAAAGGCCTCCGTGTAAGTGAGCCTGGGTGTAGCAGCATGTTGCAACACTGGGTTCATGATGGGGTCTTTGTATGCCAGGAATTTCTTTGCCAAACTTTGTTAGTAACTTTGTCACAAGTGTAAAACCAAACGAACGGAAACTTGGTTTACGTCCAGTTTTCACCAGATACATATTGTAGCTGTTCAGCATGCTTACGTCAACCAGATGGAAAAACACTTTTCTCATCCACTTCAATGTTTTCCTAACACACTCGACAGCGCCCACCATCATGTCACGTTTATCAACCAAACGCATGTTGATATTATAGTCAAGAAGACAATCTGGCTTATATACTGGTTGTTTTGTTACTCGGTTCACCTTGCCACTGTTCACCATTGTACCATCATGAACGGTTGTCAGCAAGTTCACTTCTCTCGTCTTTCCACCTAACTGAGAGTATTTGATCACTTTTTCTTAGCTGGCAGTCACCAACTTCAAGATTATTGTCAAACACTGGCATTTCTCGTCTTCTTGGCTTTACTGTGCCACACACTCCAGTTCTATTTTCAATCAAGAACTTAGCTAGTAAGGGACTTGTATAGTAGTTATCTGTGTATAAAATGTGGCCCTTGTTCATCCATGGTGCCATCAGTGACTTTACCACACTACCTGAGAAACCATGTTGGTCGTTACCGGGAATGTCTACATTGCTAATAGAATACAGAATCATGTGTAACACGTATCCTGTTTCACAGTCACAAAGAACAACGAATTTCAATCCAAATCTGTTGTGTTTGGAGGGAATATACTGCTTGAACCCAACACGTCCTTTGAAAAGCACAAGGGATTCGTCAATCACCAGCTTCTGTGCTGGTACGTTGAAATATCTGTACTTTCCAATCACTTCATTCATAATATGCCTGACTCTCCAAAGTCTATCAATCTCTGTCCGGTCTTCATTACTTGCAAAATGAAGACACCTGAGGAGTATCTGAAACCTGTCTTGGGACATATATTTCCCGAACTAAGGTGTTGGAACAGTCTGGTCTTTGCTCCAATAATCTGAGATAATATGTTTTACACAATGTTTCATCAACATACATAGTGCCAAAAATAAATACATTTCACCTACAGTGGTGTTTTTCCAATGCTGTAATCGTGAAAATTCTGTTATATTTTTCCAATGAGATGAGCTGCATGAAGGTTCGTTTGGTGTACAATATATTCCATGAGCGTCTCATCATTAAATGCTGTAAAATAGTCTATTTCACACACGTCCTCACCAGTATCAGGGAAAAGGTTTGTAATACCATCACTCCACACAAGTACACCTTGTGTCCTGCGAGACGAAACACCGGCACGACGGCGAAGAATCGTTGCACACCATGTACCAGGAGCTGAAGCCTGTCTATGCAAAGTACGGGTGCTATGTGAACATGAGGTAATATCACGTGAACATGAGGGTCTTGGTTCCTCATGTGGTGCCCTGCGGCGGCGCTTGGCTGGGTGAGACGCTGCTGACGCGACAAAATCTCGCTTGGTAACACCACTGGCACTAGCGACAGGCATGGTAACACTATGTTCTGAATCCACCTCATTAAAAGCAGAAAAAGAGTCACCTTCCTCTGACTCGTCGCCCAAAATATTCTCATACTCTAAATAAGTACAAGAACTGTGTGGTCGTGCACGAATTGGAGTAGACACTGGGCGAGGAGGCACTGGTGAGCGTGTAGGCCCCGCCATGGGAGGAGGCTGTATCTCAAATTCACTCTGTGCTACTATCATCGGTCAATTGCGTGTAGTGCTTATCAATGTCAGAGTTATCAATATCACATTCCTCACCATCAGAAAATAATTCACTAGTTATAATTCACTTAACTCTTGAGTAAGTGATTGAGTGGTGTGTGCCCGGGAGGCGTTTGGCCGTGCGCTCGCCATGGTGACTGCTAGGTAACTGAGGCTTTCCACGCGTTGGTGGCGGAGCTGGATTTTTTCAAAATGGCGGCTGTTTACTATAGCCCCTAGGCAGCGTATGGGGGGCCCCCACTACCCCCCACTGGCTATTCAAATCTTGCGCGGTACTTCATTACGTCATGTGACGTGATGCGCACTTTTGCGTAAGTTACTCAAAAGTCATATGACGTGTTTTGCAGCTTAAGGGTTAAGTGAATGAGTATTACCTGATGCTTGGACAAAGAGTGTTATTGTTCATATCCCCAAACCACACTCAGATAATTATAGGCCCATATCTCTAACATCATGTGTTTGTAAAGTGCTTGAACACATTGTCCTTAACCGACTCACGTATCGTATACAGGGGCACCTGTCTCCCCAACTGTTTGGATTTATGCCTGGGCTCAGTACACAACACTGTTTTCCTGACTACTTCGCTCATATTGAAGCTTCCCCTCAAGCCGTCTTCATCAACCTAGCAGCAGCTTTTGATACAGCAAACAGGGAAATCATGCTAGAACAGCTTGCTGAGCTGGGAATACAAGGAAAATTACTGAAATGGATAATGGGCTGCTGAAATGGTCTAATCGAACAGCATGTTTTGTTTAACCACTGTACTGTTCTGCATTAAAATATGACAACCCCTTGGTGCACAGAAAATAAATTCTTTCCAAACAATTATTTTCTCTTCTTATATTGTTAAAAGAAGTCTCTGATCAATGAGAATAACTGGAAAAGTAGGACGCTGGATACTCAATTTCCTGTCGAACAGAACACAAAGAGTAACAGTCAATCAGATAAAATCGAGTCCAAGCGATGTTAAAAGCTCTGTACCTCAAGGTACAGTCCTTGCACTGCTACTGTTCCTTATTCTCATATCTGATATAGACAAAAATACACGTCACAGCTTCGTGTCGTCCTTTGCAGATGACACAAAAATCAGCATGAAAATTACCTCTGCTGAAGACATTGAAAAACTACAAGCAGATGTCAACAAAGTTTTCGATTGAGCAGCAGAAAATAACATGATGTTTAACAGTGATAAATTTCAGGTACTCGGGTACGGTAAAAATGAGGATCTGAAACATAATACATGCCTAATTAAACAGCTTGTCTTATATACTCGCATTTGGGTGAGGTGATATGTTGCAACAGTTTTGTATGAGGTGAACAAACTTTTGACCAACACAAGACAGAACACGGAACATTGGGTATTAATTGGATAAATGAGAGGGAAGAATGGAAGTAACTGCAAAGGGCCTATTGGCCCATACTTACTCTTGATGCTTCTGGTACTCCGTACCAATATAGAACCTGCTCTTAGCATAATACATAAACAAAATTATTACATTTTTCTAAACATTTATTATGTTTTGATGGGAAAATTTAGTTATAGAAACCTTAAATGTTTTATTTCCCCTAATAGGTAATACGGCTTCCAGTCTCTGCTCGGCTACCAAGGACGATAGCAAACACAACTTCTGCCCATTAATGATGGTAAGAACACTTTTATTCTTACTGTACAAGAGGTGAGTGTGTGTGTCATGTTGATGTCATTAACCAGTTATGGTGAGCATATTAATCATGATGTTTACAGTAACTAGTGATAATGACTGTATTTATTATGTTTTCAATAACTAGTGATGGTGAGTGTATTTATTATAATGTTATTAACTAATGATGGTGAGTATTAATCTTGATGTCATTAACCAGTAATGGTGAATGTATTAATCATGGTGTTGTCATTAACCAGTGATGGTGAGTGTATTAATCATGGTGTTGTCATTAACCAGTGATGGTGAGTGTATTAATCATGGTGTCATTAACCAGTGATGGTGAGTGTATTAATCATGGTGTTGTCATTAACCAGTGATGGTGAGTGTATTAATCATATTGTCATTAACCAGTGATGGTGAGTGTATTAATCATGGTGTCATTACCCTGTGATGGTGAGTGTATTATTGTTATCACCCAGTGATGGTGAGTGTATTATTGTTATCACCCAGTGATGGTGAGTGTATTATTGTGATGGTGATGTATTATTGTTATCACCCAGTGATGGTGAGTGTATTATTGTTATCACCCAGTGATGGTGAGTGTATTATTGTTATCACCCAGTGATGGTGAGTGTATTATTGTTATCACCCAGTGATGGTGAGTGTATTAATCATGGTGATATTAACTAGTTATGTTGAGTGTATTAACCCTCTGAACTGCACATAGTGCCTTAATGCACTCAATCGGGGGTGCGCATAACCCCTTAATGCACTCGTAGATATATTGTAGGATTCAAAACTTGGGTACAAGATGGAGGCCTGAGGCTTCCAATGAGCATCCACCAGTTTGAAAAATATTCCCAGCATGCCCCACAGCCGTGGGCAGACTCATTTTCTGGGGGGAGCCCCTACGGCTCCCCGGAGCTATCCATGGCTGATATGGATACCCTAACTATTTTGCATCAGTCGATGTGGGTGGAGTTCTAGGCCTACCGGGGACCACGAGCCAGAACCTGGCCCCCTCAGAGAGGCACGGGGAGCAATGGCCCATAGAAATGCACATGTGATTTGGAGCATTCTATATCTGCCATCGACCGGGACAGGCACCCAGAAAGGTAAGCGCCACAAAACAAACCCCTATTCTGGTTAACAACAAAAATCGACAAACGAGTGGACAGAACTCCCCCAGGAAAACGAACTAACAAGCATGACGTCACACGAGCCGCGCCGCATGTCTGCGCAGCTCCCCCCTCCCCGGGAGGGGGAAGGGGGAGCCCCAGACCCCCGCGCCGGCGATCCCCGCCCCAGTTCCTCGGCTGATGGGATAATGCACGGTCGTGTGGCTCCAGCTCCGGTCTTGTCTCAGTGCTGTGACTTGTTTTCAGTGCTGCTCTTACGGTGGTCGTGTGAGCTGGGAGTAGTATTCTCAGGTACTCGGGCTGCATGTGCTTAGGGTCACCTTCCCTGAGTGCCCTGTAAGTACCGCCCTTGGGGCTTGGGGTTGCCTTCCACAAGTCACCTTGGGTCTACCTCTGTTGGCTTTTTGCTGCTTGGCGTTTGGCCGCCCCGAGTGTTTGGGGGTTTTACTCCCTTGTTTACCTTGGGGTAAGTGGTAGTTATAGCACTGGTGGGGCGCAGGGTACTGCGTAGCTAGTTTTCACCTATGACAGCGGCCGGCTCTGTTCCCTCTGGGTACGTTGTCCACTTGTGTGGTTTTTCTTTTATATTTGTTTTTGCCTGGTAGGAGGGTCTGCCTTGTGTTCCCCCCCCCCTTTATATTAGGTTCGTTTGTGTGGTGGCACCCCCTGCTTCGCCCTCACGGGTGGACACGTCCTGTGGGTTCAGCTTTAGCAGTTTGCTTGGTAGTTTGGGGCACCGGTTAGCAGTGCCCTGCCTGGGATAACCCTTAGCAGACCCAGTCTAGGGGCCCTGGAAAACCCCGCGGGGGCTCTCGGGTCCGATAGTGGAGACCCTTGCGTCCCCTCTCGCTTTGTGTGAGTTGAGGGTTGCTCTGTCCCTTTGTCTCAGGGTGACTCTCCTTGTTTTTGCCTCCGTCATGCTGCCTGTTGGGTCGGTGACACATTCGACCCTTGAGTCCTGCGAGCTTTGTTGCTTGTTCGTGAATCCATTCACCCAGTCTGCTGATGAATTCCCATGGGTGCAGGCAGCTCGCGCGTTGCTGGGTAGGATGTTGCAACGCGCTCAGGTTTGTTGCTTCCCCGGACGCCCCGATGCTGCCCCGCTTGTGTAGGGACCCAGACTTGGGGGTTTTGGTCGCTTCAGCCTTGGTTCTTCCACGCCCCGCTTCTTTTTTCCCCTCCTGCTTCCGGTCCCTATGCATCTGCAGGCTTCGGGGTTGGGGCGGGGTTAGAGGTTCTGAGACTTGGGCAGTTTCGGGGGTTGCCCCGTCCGGGGTAGCTGCAGAGGCATTCGAGTCTGTTCCTCCGGCGATGCTCCGGGGTTTAACCAGTGGGCCCCTTCTCTTCCAGCTCTCTCGGCTGCCCCGGCTTTTTCTTGTGGGGCCGGGGCTTTGGAGGTCGACTCGGCCCCGGGGCCTAGTGTAGAGGCTCCTGGGGTTGGGAAGGAGCGGCCTTGGGGGCCTTGGGCTCCATTGCGCCCCGCCTGGATTTCTGTCCTTCTGAGCAGGGCTTACTGTTGCGAGGAGTGGGGTTTTCTTTCCCCCCCTCTGCGTACGATTTGGGCTTGGGTTCTGCTCCTCCCCGGGTTCGGTTCCGTGTCCCTGTGGTTTCTTCGGTTCCGTCTTCCGGAGGTTTTCGGCTAACTGCATCTCTTCGCCTGTGGTGCGGTTGCCCTTTGCGGCTTGCCTCCTGTGTGTCCTGGAGTTTGCCTCCATACTGGTTCCTTCTGTTTTGGACAGGTTGGGCTCCTTGTAGCCGTTTGGGCTCCTTGTAGCCGTTTGGGCTCCTTGTAGCCGTTTTGGGCTCCTTGTAGCCGTTTTGGGCTCCTTGTAGCCGTTTTGGGCTCCTTGTAGCCGTTTTGGGCTCCTTGTAGCCGTTTTGGGCTCTTTGTAGCCGTTTTGGGCTCTTTGTAGCCGTTTTGGGCTCCTTGTAGCCGTTTTGGGCTCCTTGTAGCCGTTTTGGGCTCCTTGTAACCGCTTTTGGGCTCCTTGTAGCCGTTTTGGGCTCTTTGTAGCCGTTTTGGGCTCTTTGTTGCAGTTTGGGCTGCTTGTCGCCGGTTGGGCTACTTGTCGCCGGTTGGGCTACTTCTCGCCTTGTTGGGCTACTTCTCGACTGATTGGGCTACTTCTCGCCTTGTTGGGCTACTTTTTTTTCGCGTCCTGCGCATGCGCCGTGGGAGTTAGTTTTGGTTCCGGGCGGTGTGCACATGTGTTCTGCATCCATTTTCTCTCAGGGGGGCTTCGCCTCTCGCTCTTTTCTTAATCCAATCCGTTCCTCGTTGCTTTGGGGGTGTTCTGGGGTGCCGCTGTGGGGAAGTCACGTGGTTTTTCCCTGCGATCTAGGGTGGGGAGCCTCTTTCGCCGCTCCCCTCCTCTCCAGCATGGGCACCCTGGCCGCCTCCGGAGGCTACGGACTCGAAAGCTTGCGTCATGGCCCTTCAGCGCCTATGTTCTGCAGGTGAGATGGTGCGGTTTGGCGTCTCCTTCGTCCTGACGCTGTTTTTGTTTTTGGAAGTAGGAATGGGTGTACATACGTCCTTGAGAACGTGGACCGTACCACCCGAGGTGCCTACTGCAGGGCTATTAGCCCATACTGGGCAGCTCTTGTTCTCTCCACCTGATTCCTTCCTCGGTTCACGGGTGACTGCGGGTAGCCTCTTGTCCCTTCCGAGGCGGCTCCTGCCTGTACTCCTCCTGCCCTTCTCCTTTAATTGTCTAACCTTGCTTGAGTTCGGGGCCCCGCCTCCACCTTGTTCCGCAGTGCAATGGTAGGGGTGCCTGTTCGGTGGAACGTTTTCCTGTGTCAAGGGTGTTTTGTGCTCGCCTCCTTGTGCTTGCAGGATTGGGTTCTGGCTCTTTGGTTCCGCCTCTCCCCTGTCGTTTGCCTGTCGAGTGGATTCTGTGCTTCATGGGCGCTCTCGTCTCTGCTCTTGGGGGTGTGTATGGGGTCAGGCCAAGTTGGGCTGCCTAATGTGTTCCTTCGATTGCCTGTTACACTGCACACATTTCTTCTACCGTCCCTGTGGTTCAGTTGGGTGCTCGGTTTAAGCCTGTGTCCCCTTGTGTGCCACTCATGTACGATTTATCTATCTTCTGTTGCTTCCTCGGGGAGTGTGGTGACGTTTTGCTGCGGTTTTGGTATTGCAGCAGCGTGTCAGGGTTGGTTGTGGCATTATGTTCGGCCCTTCCGTGCTCCCTCTGGGGCCCTCCCTCCTTGCTGGTCTTGCTGTGCCAGGCCTGTTTTTTCCATGTTCCTTGGATTCTCTGGTTTGTCCTCGCCTCGTTGTGCTGGCTGGGGATGAACTTGGGGGTCTTCATCTCGCCCCTCGCCTATCCTCTGGTTTCGGTTCAAGTTCCAGAGCCTAGTGGGCTCCCTTCCTTAGTGTTTTCCTGGCTGCCCCGGGGTTTTTCTTGACGCTGGGGCTTTGAGGGGACAGCTTGGCCCCGGGGCCTGCAGGGGGGGTTCCCGGGGCTGGGGTGGGGCTCACGTGAGGGGCCTCAGGCCCCGTTGGTCCCCGCCGGGGTATTTCTACCCCTCTGGGCGGGGCTTGCGGTTTTGTGGTGTGGGGTTTTTCCGTTCCCCCTCTCCGCACGTGCTTCGTGCGCGTTGACCCCTCCCTGGGCACGGTTTCCTTGTCCATTGTTCCCGTTGTTTTCGTCCTGTCGGTGGGTGCTTTTCTACGGTGTTCGCCCCTTTTTTCCGGGACGGGCCTTCTCCGTCATGTCCCCCTCTTCTTGGGGTTTCTGCATGACTTTTGGTCTCGGGTGCGATGGGGTTTTTGTGCCTTCGTCCTTTGTGTTTGCTTCTTTTTGTTCTCGAAGGTTCGGGACGATTTTGCTACTTCCCTCTGGTCCTTTCTTGA